TGGCTATCAGGAGACCTGCAAGAGGCACATGGCCCCCAGGAGGGAGGCCTCAGGCACCTCCAGGCCTGGCCCTGCTCAAACGCTGCCACACACAAGAGCTGCCTAAGCACCACTCCTGCAGTGCATGCAGGAGGATGCCTCACTCTTCGCCCTGGTTCCCTCTGCAAAAGCCCCCTGGCTGACCTCAGGGCTGAGCTCCACTGGGTTACTCTGCCCGTTCCCCCCCCCCGGCACTCCTTTGAGGCCACTCACCTCTGTTTCTCCAGGCAGAGCAGCACATGCTCGTCAAAGCGATAGTAATGCGCACGGGAGTGGTCGAAAGCGGCACAAGGCAGTCCAACACGGTCAGAGGCAGGACCTGGTGGGTGGAGGCAGTGAGGGCGCTCGTCAGGGTCTTTGGGCAGCCTTCTCGGGGAGCAAGAGACACCCCCTCCCCCAATTCCATCTCCATGCGGCGAGGCAAGGAGAACAACACACCTTCACTGCTGGGCTGGTTCCCACGCTCCATGCCCGCCCGAGACTGGCAGAACTCTCGGATTCTCCTCTCCTCACCTGCCAGGGACACAGAAACGTGTGTGTGTGTGGGGGGGGGAAGGTGTGGCAAGGGTTACGTGGGCAAAAACCAAGTCACTTCACTTCCCAGCCCACATGCACGCACACGCACACACACACACAGAGGACAAGCTTTTTTGAGATGCCCTGCTCAGAGGTTGGCCAGTGTGCCACAGATGCCGGGCAAACGGCCACCCAGGGCCCTCTGGCCGCACTTACTCTCCTGCAGGCCAGGCACCAGCTTGAAGACAATGTCTTGCATGACCCGGTCCAGCTTGAGGTTGAGGAGAGGCTGCGTCTCGTGTATCTTGGTGCTGCACATGGGGCAGTACTTGCTTGTCTGCAGGTATTTCACGATGCAGCTCTTGCAAACTGCAGGGAGGGAAGCAAGGAGGGGCCCCGTTAAGACTCCCCTCCCCCCAAACCTCCACCCCAGGCTAGAGAGGCACGCCGCACACCCAAGGAAGCCGAAGGATCCTGACGCGCGCTCCCCCCCCGACCCCTCTGGGAGGGGCAGGTCTTCAGGCACTGGGCATCCACCACAGAGACCCACCCATGCCCACCTGCACGAAGAGAGGGGGGAGGGGAAGGCCACCAGGAGAGGCCCTTGAGACATGGGGGCGGCTCAGCCCTGCTTGAAACCCACCTGCTCTCCTGGCATGCCTCAGCCTTCCCCCCCCCCTTCCCGGTCCCTGCCTCCGCCTCTTCCAGGGAACCGGGATCCCAACGTGGGCTGAGCGCAGGCAGGCAGGCAGGCACAGACACACACACACCCCGGGGGGAGGGGAAGGCCACCAGGAGAGGCCCTTGAGACATGGGGGCGGCTCAGCCCTGCTTGAAACCCACCTGCTCTCCTGGCATGCCTCAGCCTTCCCCCCCCCCTTCCCGGTCCCTGCCTCCGCCTCTTCCAGGGAACCGGGATCCCAACGTGGGCTGAGCGCAGGCAGGCAGGCAGGCACAGACACACACACACCCCCCTCCCCTCCC